AGTTAGTAACTTCCATATTTGTAAGAGAGGTAGGGTGAGAAGTTTAAAAATCATTTTAGTTTCAATAGAAATATTAGGATTTTGTTAGAGGGGACTTGAGGTAGGGAAGGAGAATGATAGTGGTTTTAGAATGTTCAATTCAACAAACTTTTCGTGTCCATGTGCAAGGCGGTATGCTAGCTGCTAAGGGTGTGGAGCAATTAAAATATGTGTTTATTCTTTAGCACCTTTTAGGTGAAAGATATAATGATACTTTTAATATACTGGAATTTGATGAGTGATAGGATAGGGGTATAAAATGAGTTTTAGGTCTTGCTAATTTTCCCCCTTGTGAAGTGTCTCAAATTTATCCTCTCTACCTCTCTAGTTTAAGTCCTCGTTGGTACTTGACAATAGAAAAAGATACCTAGTTTGTATCACGGCCCTGTATCTTCCCCAAATCCATTTTGTTTATTGTTCTCAGACTTACTACGTCACCTCTTTTCTTAACCTCTTGACTCCATTTACCTGAAGAGCAAAGATCATACTCCTTAACTGGGATTTAAAGGCTTTTCACACTCTGAACTTAGGAAGATAGTGCAACAATATTTTCCTTTTTAAATTTAAAGAGTGTGTGTCTTTTCATCTTTGTGTCTTTTCTCTTTTGATTTCTTTTGCCACTACTTTGCTCCCTCCCTTTCTGCAAGGGGGGCTTCTTTTTGTCTGTTAGGTTTTGCTCAGCTTTTAATTTCACTATTCCTGGCAGGCTTAATCAAGTTCTCTTCTTTGCTTCTGTAGTACTTTATTTATGTTGCTACTGTAATCCTTAGTTTAGCACTTTGATATATATTTAATTACCAATCAGAATGTCTCCTTTGCAACGTTGTGAGCTTCCAAGGCAAGGATCCGGATTTACTAAACTATGTTTCTTTTGGCTATTGTAGTCTTGAATTAAGTACTCATTAAATAAATGTGCTAGTCACAGTACTATTGATCGTACGTTTTCAGTTCTTTTCCTTCTGGATACATGCTGGGATTGTACTTCCCTATCCCATTAAATCAGACTTGGTCAGGTGACTTGGTTTGGCCCGTGAATTGTGAGTGAAAACGAAGTTGTGTATGGTGAAGTGTGTACCCAAAGATCTGAAGCCTTTAAGATTGGGTCTGCAATTTTCCTGTTCCCTTTCCCTGCCACAATGTTCTAGATGGTAGAGGCTCACTTAACCCTGGGGTCCAAGTAAGGGTAACATGGAATAGGCCCTCAAGATAGGCATATAACATGAACGAGAAAGAAAGCTTTGCTATATATTTTTTCTGATTTTTAATCCTTTTAAAATTCATATTTTATTGAAATATAATTCACATACCCTAACACTCACCCTTTAAAATGTACAATTCAGTGATATTTTCGTATAATCACAAAGTTTTGCAACCATTACCACTAATTTCAGAACATTTTAGTCACCCCAAAAAGAAACCCAAGTACCCGTTACTTTTTTTTTTTGACTGATACAGTAAGTATTTAAATTGACAACATTTAGCATATTCTGTTTTGCCCCACTACAATTTGGATAATTGAATTTACAATAGTTGCCCCTCTGTATCTGCTGGAGGAATAGTTGCATGACCCCCAGAGGACACTGGAAACCGCAAATAGTGATGAACCTGATTGCCGTCAACACATTTCTGTTCATGTCTTTAATACCTTTTCATCTTAACTAAGTCCTTATCATGCACTACGGCTATAACTTTTGCAGTTTGAGGTGCCACAGCAAAACTAGCTTGGATTTCTTTTTCCTTCCTCACAATTTCACAGTTAGAAGATTCTTTCTTATTGTAGGTCCTGGCAACCTCAGCATATAATTTCTTTTCTTTCCTTATTAAGTGGAGAACTTTTACCTTTTCACTTAAAAGAAGTGCCTTATGGCTTCTCTTTGGCGTATCCAGATTGCCAGTATCACCCTTTTGCACTTTGGGGCCATTATTAAGTAAAATAAGGGTTTCTTTAACATAAGCACACGATACTGGGACAATCCATCTGATAGATGGCTACTGAGTGACTAACGGGCGGGTAGCATCAGCAGCGTGGGTACGCTGGACAAAGGGATGATTCATGGCCCAGGCAGGATGGAGCTGGATGGTGTGAGATTTCATCATGCCACTCAGAATGACACACAGTTTAAAACTTACAAATTGTTTATTCTGGAATTTCTATTTAATATGTTTGGACTGCAGTCAACTGTGGGTAACTGAAACCTCAGAAAGGGAAACTGGATGGCGGGGTGGGGAGTGCTACTATAATGGATACATAATCCTTTACTCTTAAAACTGTCTTAAATGAGACTTCCCCATTTTGATTTTTTTGTGTCTCTGTCTGAATCCAGAATCCATTGGAATAATTGTGACGCCTTTTCTCCCCAAGTGATGTTGATAAATTTATTGTTTACATTAACATACTTTATCAAATTGAGAGTATATTTTCAATTTCACCAAATAAAAATACTCTGACGTTTTGATGTAGTAGCTTTATACTCAGTAACCCATTAACACGAGTGTTCCTTCCAACAGTTTTGTCAGTGGTTTGGAACTTACCCTATACATTAGCCCTAGTAAACATGGTTTAAACAAATTTGGTTCCCAGGCCAGGACAAAAAGTTAAAGTGGGAGGAATGGCACCAGTAATGCTAACCTGGGTTCAGGGCCTTGATGAGGAGAGGCCATAAAGACAAAAAAAGGGGGAAGGGGGAAAATGTTGCAATTTTTATTCTCAGTAGGGCTGAATTTATAATAGTTTAAATGAGTATTTGTCATCTATTTTAATTAAATGAAAGTTAATTACATTTAAACCATTTATTTTAATAAAATTAATTTTGATGTCTTTTAAGCTAAGTATTTGTTGGTTTTCAGCTAAATATAATTTGACTCCAAATACAATCAATAATGGAAATTCATAGAAACTAAACCATAATCATTCAACAGTACTTAACTTTGATTCACTCCACACACACCAGCTTGCATGTAAAACCTTTACTGCCAAACTGCCAATAAAGTGAGCCAGAGTCCCTTGGTGTTTGAAATCATAGCAAGGATTGCTTTGCTATTTGTTTTTTTTCCAGTGGGTGGCAGCATAACTCAACTAGTTGTCTTGTATGTGGTCATTTGAAATTTTATGTATTTTTAAGAGGCTTTAATTTCTATATCTGTTGAACTGAAGAGTGTGTTCCAAGAAAACTTTCTTCCCCCAAGTATACTATTTACTCCTTGCTAGAGTGAAGAAGATTTTAGATAATAAGAAAATTGCTTGATACGCTTTCTTCATAGATTTCAAATAAGATAAATATCATTGCTTACTGGTAAATAGCTCCTCACATGTGCATTTTACTGAAAATTTTTCAGAATGAGTTATTTGGAGATCTATTTTTTACTCTAAACTAGAACTTAAAGCAGTCGTTATAGCAAAGTTGTTTTTATCTCAGAGAATTTGCCAGTGAGACACCCTAACCCTCAGTCATTCCATAAGCTGTCATTGAGACTATAATTCTAATAAGTTTACTATTATCCTTTGAAAGCAGGGACTGTGTTTGCTTTTTCCTGTGCCCTCATAGAGCTTGATATAATATCAGGGCCCCAAATAGAGATCCAGTAAAAGTACTTATTAGAAGCTAATAAAAAGTATGTGCTTGCTTTACAGCTGATATTACTAGGAGCATCTACTTGTTACAGTTAAAACAGCATCTTGAATTCAGAAAATGAGGAAAGTAAAATCACTTAAATAATGGACAGTTATTTGCATTTGTTTGTTAGCACAGTGTACAGAGTATTAAATATAATTATGAATTGTATTCTTTTAAAAATACACTCTTTGTTTTCAGATAGAGTTATGTACTTAAGTTGGAGAAGATAAGGGAAAAGATTTCCTTAAAAAGAAAAATAATAAGCAAATAGCTATAAGTAGTGTTGACTAAGTGTTATGAGATGAGGTACAGAGGAAAGTGAGAAGTCATCTTGGCCTGTCTGGCTTCGTTGGATATTTTCTCCATTAAGTAATCTTTGAACTTTTTATAACTGCTCAATGTAACCTAACTAATCAGTTTAAAAGCTAGGATTAGAACCCAAATTATCTCACGGTTGTGTAGATAAGCTAGAGGAATCACAGAGGCCAGACTTCACTTTATTATTCAAGCTGAAATAGTATTTGGAAAATGAGAAAAGTCTTATTTTAGAAATAATCAAAAACAATTTTCCGTATAGTAGTAGTAGTAATAATAGCAGTTAACTTTGAGAGGTAAGAGATCTAAGTGAAAAGAGAAACGTCTACTATCTTGTTAGACTCATTTGGACTTCTTTATCATAGCTTTTAATTGATAACCATTTCCTAAAACTTATATTAGGAATGTCTAGTATGTGTATTATAGCTCATAATAGCTCCTGAAGATCATTTACCTTCTATATAACTTACTATTTTTTGGACATTATTCTGCTATGGAAAATAATATCTGCACATCAAGAATGGGAATGGAATGAAAATGTAATGTCAGGTGTATTTGTCTGTTTGGTCCCTGGTAGTTCCTGTGCCCCTGAGCCTTGGGAGTGGGGCTTTCTCAGTGTTCGATCCCCCTTCTCCTCACCCCAGTTGCAGATAGCCTTTGCACCTCCCCAGCTCAGTGTCTAGAACAGGGATTGGTAAACTTTTTCTCTTAAGGGTTAAGTAGTAAATATCTTCACAGGCCTTGTGGTCTTTGTCCGATTATTATACTCAACTCTGCTGTTGCAGCCATAGACATTATGTAAGTGAATGAACATTGCTGTGTTCCCATAAAACTTTATTTATAAAAACAGGTGGTGGACCAGATTTGGTCTGCAGGTTTTAGTTTGTTGATCCCTGGTCTAGAGTGCAGGTGGGTTCCCCCCATCCCATCCTGGGGCAACCAAATTTTGTCTTGTATCTGTGGGGGGCCTTGGGAGCGAGCAGATTTCCTGCACTTCCATCTGCAGCAGTGTATTTTTGCTTTGTAATAGTGCAGAAACCTGGGCATGAGTGGATTTTATACCATGCTGAAAATGGTGGTGATACTAACAAATTTTTTTTTTTTGATATTGGGTAATGAAACGTATCAACATTGGGAAGATTCACATAACTCAATGAATCAATATTTTCCAAATGACCAATTCGTGATGTTAAAAATGTGTGTGTAAAGGATCCATTCAAAGTAGAAGACAGACCAATGGGTTTTAATGTAATAGAGTGCAAAAAATCCATTAATAGTTTCAGATTTCATATTGTAACTAACCTTTTAAGAAACTACCACTTACCAATTTTCAGAGAAGAATATCTACAATTATCTGAAAAGACTATTAAAATATGCCTTCGTTTTCCATTTACATATGTGTGTGAGGCTAACTTTTCTTCATATGTTAATACTTCAACCAAAACAATATATTACAACCAATTCAATACAGAAGCAGATAGAAGAATCCAGCTGTTCTATTAAGCCTGGCTATAAAGAGAGTTACAAAAATGTAAAAACAATGATAGTTCTCTACTAAATTTTTTTTTTCGTTTTGGAAAATAGTTATTTTTTGTAAAAATATATTAAGATGCAATGAGTTTATTGTCATTTTAGAATGAATACATATCTTTAAAACCCAGTTTTAATTTCTATTATGATAAATAGTCATAGATATAACCCACATATAAACAAAAGCTTTTTGGAATCTTCAGTTATTTTTAAGAATGTAAGGGGTTCCAGAGACCAAAATGTTTGAGAATCACAGAATAAAACCGACTCCAAGGTACATGGTTAGGGAAAGTGCAAATCTGTGTGATTATACCTTATCATTTGTATAAAAAGAACTGTAAATAGGACATTTATTTTCTTGTATAGTCATAAAATCCTTCTGGAGGGATATAAAAGAATTAAGTATTGGTTCAGAGAGGAAGGAATGAAAGGTAAAACTCTTTAATCTAAACCCATTTCAACTTATTTGAATTTTAAACCAGATAAATGTATTACTCATCAGGAAAAAAAAAAAAAGAAAGAAAACATTCCCAGCCAGTAATATTACAAAATTAAAGGAATCTAGGTTTGTTATGAAAAGTTGGAGCAAGTTTGGAGTAATGGATATTATTTTTCTGGCAGCTTACTTTTTCTTGTTTTGTTTGAGAAAAAGTGAAGCTTGCTTATTTTAAGGGCAAAAAATCTCGTATAATATCCAAGCCAAATACCATCATGTTGAAATAATATAAATCAAATAGGTAGCATTTTCCCCAGTGGGGCCCAAAGTACACTGAAATTAACTTTTAAGGAGGAACAGTTTTACTAGATTTTTTAAAATGGCATTGATTTCTAGGTTCCTAGTAAAGAGATTGGGTTTATTTTAGAAGACTGTTATAATTTATAGTTCTGTCATTTAAAAGGTTTTGAATAAGTGTTACATGAAATGTAGAAGTAAAAAGGCTAAGTAAGTGTTCTGACATTTGATTCAGTACAAAAAGTACGTTTTAATACTCTTAACCTTTGAGGCTTTGAGAGTTCTCGAAAAGAAGAACAACTAAGGAATTCAATTTTATTTATTCTGTCTACTATTAAATGCGCCTTTTGATCAATGTTCATACTTTTAACTGTTGGATAGATAAAATGTCCTTTTATGAAAAGGGAAAATTATTTTAATGCAATAGCTTTTAAGATTTTCTTTTTTCATATAGTTCTTCTAAATATTATATCTTTGAATGCTGAAATATCATTTCCAGAGTTCTTCGAAGCAGTTTAGAGGAAAATATTACATGTGATTCTGTTCATTAGTTATAGTTTAAAGTTTTCCTATAATGTTGAACCATTTCCTCCTGGTTCTTTGGTAACAAAGAATACTTTTAAAAATATTAATGGATTTTTTTTTTAGTACTAGACAAATGGGTAGTTAATTCAGAAAGGAGTTTTACTTACTGTTACTTAGTGGCACATACATGTATAATACCTAACATTTTTGAAAGCACTTACACATTATTTTCTTGGATTTTCGGCACATCTTGGAAGTAGCACAGTATTTTTCCTATTTTAGATGTGTGGAAATTGAAATTTAAAGGGCTAAATGAATTGCCTAATGTCATACAGCCTTGTTAAATAATAAAATAGGATTTTAGATTTAAACAAAACTCTGTCCTTGCAAAAAAATGCATTTATCTATATCTACTAGGTTCTAGGCACTGTGGTTAGCGGTGGAGGTATATAGATAGGACACGTCTTGCTCTGCTGGGGCTTGAGAAGTTAGTGGCAGAGAACACCCAATGGGAGAAGCGCCCAAGTGCAGTGGTGCCTCATTGAAGGGCCGTGTAGCTCAGACAGTTTTTGAGGAAGTGACACAAATCTTGAGGAATGACTAGGAGAAGTTAACCAGGGTGAGTCTGATTAGGGGCTATAGAGGGAGATGTTCAGGTAGAAAGGGCAGCAAAGGAGGCCTTAACACACTGGTCTCGTTTGAGAAATACTAGTAGTTCCTTTGTCAGTACTGTGCTGGGCTGCATGTGGGAAGGAGCAGGCTGTGAAACCAAGAAAGGTAGACAGTGTACTTGAAATTGAGAAATTTGAGCTTAAAAAAAAAAAAAAAAGGTTTCAGAGTGCCAAAAAGGGAATTTAAATAGGGGTAGAAGGTCTCAGATTGACCAAAGTTTGAGTCTTAGTTCTTGAGCTTATTAGCTGTGGAATCACAGTCAAGTGGCTTTTCCTGAGCCCAGTTGCCTCATATGTAAGATGGAAATAACATTCAGTTTGCAGGTAGTTAAGAGGACTAAGAAAAAGAAATGTAAATAAAGCATCCAGCATGTACCAAACCTGTAAGTACTCAGTAATGGAACTTGAATTAGGAGAAATAAAGATAGTTTTCCACACATATTCTAAGTAGAACTGAAAAAAAAATGAGTTGAATCTTATTTTAAAATAGTATTGGAACATTTAGACATTTCTAAAATAGCTGAAATGGTTTTATAATTTCACATGTTTAAATTTAATATTTTGGAATCTTTTGGTATAGCATTCTTAATATCTGTTTGAAAGCAAGACATTATATGTAAGATATGGTTGTCAAGTTATAGAGACTGCCACAAATTAGACCTTGTTTAGAATCAATTTTGTTTGCATTGTTTTGTACCTTGCCCATCCCCCAACACCCTGGCCTAGAAATGAATTGAGTTGGAAGACCTGGATCTATCATTTGCTAACTCTCTAATCTTAGGTAAATTACGGACCCATTTAGGTGGTTCTTTAGTATTAAAATGGTTTACCTGATTAATTTAGCTTTAGGGAATAAAATGAAGTAGTACATGGATGCCCTTTTGTAAAATACAGTGTCTTAGCTTGGGCTGCCATAAGAAAATGCAGTTGACCCTTGAACGACATGGGTTTGAATTGCATGGATCCACTTACATGTGGATTTTCTTCTACCTCTGCTGCGCCTGACACAACAACACCAACTTGCGCCTTCCTCTTCTTCCTCTTCCTCAGCCTACTCAATGTGAAGACGAGGATAAAAACCTTTGTGAGATACACTCCACTTAATGAATAGTAAATATATTTTCTCTTCTTTATGATTTTTCTTAGTAACATTTTCTTTTCTCTAGCTTTATTGTAAGAATATAGTACATAATACATATACAAAATATGTTAATTGACTGTTTATGTTTTCGGTAAGGCTTCCTGTCAGTAGTAGGCTGGAAGTAGTTAAGTTTTGGGAAATGAAAAGTTATACACGAATTTTCAACTGTGGGGGGTGGGGTTGGTTCCCCTAATCCTTGTGTTTAAGGGTCAACTGTACCACTGACTGGGTGACTTAAACAAAGAAATTTCTTTCCCACGGTTCTGGGTGCTGAGAAGTCCAAGATCAAGGTGCTGGCTGATCCAGTTCCTGGCGAGGGCTGTCTTTCTGGCTTGTAGATGGCTGCCTTCTCACTGCAGTCCTCACATGTCCTTTTCTTTGAGCCACGTGGGGCAGTGGGTGAGAGAGCTCGTGCACTCCGGTGTCTCTTCTTGTAAGGACACTAATCCTATAGGATCAGAGCCCCACCTTTGTGACTTCATGTGGCCTTAATTCCTTCCCTGCTCCAAATAGAGCAGCCCTGGGGGTTAGGGCTTCAACATATGAATTTTGGAGGGACATATGAATTCAGTCCATAACACAAAATGAAGTTGGAAGTGCTCTCATTCGACTTTATGATTTGGTATTTTGTAACAATGAGTTAATGCAAGGCATGTATTATATTTTTACTACTCTCCAGAGTTGCAGATGTATATGGATCATTTGAGTCCATGCTTTCTAGCTAATAGTATTTATAATTGATTAGCTACAGAAGCTGTTTACAACCAAGTCAGCATAGAACTCAGAATATTAGTGTGCCTAAGGTAATTATAAAAATTCATTAGCCTATTAATTAAGTATACTATTAATATACTTATTAGTATATTAAGGTAATACCACTTCCTTGAATTTCTCCTTCCCCCACCTCATTCCAGGCTGAAATATAGTTTAGTTTCCATAGAAAAGGTCTACATATTTCAGTGATAATTTAAAAAGTCATACTGTTCATCTTAATTTTGAATACACCTTTTTACTCATTAAGAGAGTAAGCCTTTTAATTAATGTGTTATGGTTACACAGTTTTTAAGGATGGCTAAGTAAAACCTGAGTTTTACATAGCAGATTTTGGAACAAAGAAGTCTTAACTAAACTTTGGAGTATAGCACCTTCCTTTTCTTTATTGTGAATCTCGGTATGAATTTTGAATTCCTTCTAAGTCTATTTTCATTTCAGATTGTGATGGAAGGTCTTTTTCCTGGTTTCCCAGAATGATCACATTTATGTCTTTCTCATAGGCCAGCCCTCCAGATCTCTATATTGAAAGATTTAATATAGCTCTTGGACAATATATGGGAGCATTGCAGAGCATTGTGCCTCTTTTCATATATATGGTAAGTTAGAGCCGTTGCCTCCTTTCCAAATACCTAGGTGTATTGGTCTGAACACGTATAGATGCAGAGAATTAAGCATGTTCTATTTTTCTTTTACTATATTTTGTGTTAGAAATGGAAATTAAGTTATTTCAGTAATGTTTGATAGTTGTTGACATAGAAGAATTATTTAGTTATTTTTCCTTTTTCTTAATATTACATAAGTAACAATTGCTGAATAGAGAGGTAAGAATTAATGATAAGCAATTACCCAGTGAACATTTATTTTATTTGTGCCACGTGAAGGCACCGTGCTTGGTCCTGGGAAAATGAAGATATATAAGATTTTTTTGTCCTCAGAAAGTAGAGAGTTAAGATATGTATCTAAAATATGACGAATGATAAATGCCAGGTAAGTCATTCCATAAAAAACAGAACAATAAAGTATTTCTTTTATCCTGATGATCTGTTATATTTGGACAGTTATGTTATAATTTGTAGACTATGACTTTGTTGATTTGCTTTCTCCTGATTTTAAATATACAAAATCATAGAATCTTAATGTTATTAGCGCCTGTTGAACAGAGGGGCCATTAGAAACCATTACCCTAATTCTTCCTTATTAGATTAGGGAATAGGATGTTTAGGTGGATCCTACATTCTATATCATATAGATTACTATATGTGGATACCTATCTTAAAGATGACTTAATCACCATAAAATGCACTTTACTTACAAAAAAAATTTACCTCCACCTTTAATTTAGAAGGCACTCTCCAAAAGTTCTTGTAGTACTTCATGATTTTCATTTACACTTATTTATTCCTTGGATACTGACAACAATTTTAAAAGTTAATAAGAGTTTTCTAGTTAAAATAACATAGGAGAGGCCAGGCACAGTGGTTCACTCCTGTAATCCTAGCACTCTGGGAGGCCAAGGTGGGAGGATCACTTGAGGTCAGGAATTGGAGACCAGCCTGAGCAAGAGTGAGACCCCGTCTCCACCAAAAATAGAAAAAAATTAGCTAGGCGTGGTGGTGGGTACCTGTAGTTCTAGCTACTTGGGAAGCTGAGGCAAGAGGATCACTTGAGCCCAGGAGTTTGAGGTTGCAGTGTGCTATGATGATGCCACTGCACTCTACAGAGCGAAACTGTCTCAAAAAAAAAAAAGCAGAAGAAACTGGTTTTTGCCTTGTCTTTTACCAAGACTTATCTTAGAAGAAATTGATAATGAGGCTTTTCTTTTTGTTTAAATGCCAGAACTCCTTTATGAATCATGAAACTAGTGAAAAATAGTATTGATGATTAGAAATAAGTTCATCTGAGTCAGCAAAATTAACTTCTTGGAAAGGGTCAGGAAGCCTGGGAGGTAGCCACCATTGTATCATTTTGGTGAAAATCCTCTCATGGTTTATTCGCCAGGAATGTATGTTAGGTCTAAGTATCTTGTACTTATAGAGGAAATATTTTATTTCCATTCTAGCAAACTCCTTATTCTTGCTGTTTTAAAGTTTTCAATGGAGACTGTGAATGGAAGTGGAGCTGAAAGACAGGGCCTATTTGTGGATAAGGGCATTAAGGGAGAGTAAATAGGTTTCAAACTTCCATGTTTACCATTTTAGTGGCATTTACCAGTAAGCATGTTGGCTAGGTGCATTAGTGATAAAAAAACGTCTAACTTATCATGACTTGGATTTTGAGTCAAAACATGAATAGCTAATTTGTAAAAAATTAGATTAAACAAGATAGGAAAGTGATTTATACTTTTCTGTAGTGCTGTTGTTACTTTCTTAAACTTTTTAGTAGGATCTTGGAGTTTTTAAGAAGTCTATCATTTAAGAATAAATGAACTTCAAACTTACCCTTCCAGCTAGCAAAATTCAAATAAGGGATCTTAGGTTGTAAAGTAAAGCTTGTTTTCCTTTTCTCACACTTGTGAGGGCAGAGATACTTTTCTTATAGATTAAGAGCCTGAATTTGCTTTCTAGTTATTTGTGAAATTTTGTTAGTAAATTGTTTTTATTGTCCAGAAGATAGAAATTCTTCAAACTTTGGTACTGCTTTGTTGGAAAAGTATATTACTTAAAGAAAATAGTTTGAAATGTTAACCTGTTAGGGCTATAATTGGCAAAATGTCATTTCCAACAAAGCATAGAAACAGAAATTTTTAAAAATATTACTTATTAGTTAAAATTAGTGGCTTTGTTATAGGTCTGTCTATATGAATATTTTAAGAAATCAGTCATTAAACTAGAAAATAAATTGTGTCTAAGACCCTAAGTTACCAGAAAAGATTCTTATTAAAAGACACAGAGGTCAAATAAAGGCAGATATTTTTGTTTAGAATTTTGAAACTTAACATTATTGTACATGAGAAAAAGTTGAATGTCCCCTGTTATTTAAAGAGGTCAAATGAGAGTTCTAAGTACTTTTGAAGTTTTCAGACTATTTCTATTTAGTGAGTTCTGGTTACTTAGTAAAGAGTAGGAAGGGCATGTTAAAATGCTGTCTTAAAC